TCCGCTGGGTGCAGGACACCGGCCTGACACAGACACACACACATGCTCCCCCGGGGACGGAGACGGGGCGGTTGCTGCCTGTGCAAAGCAGGACCACGCTGAGCTTCTGAAGGGGCTGAGCAGTGGGGACAAGGTGGAGAGGAGGGGCGACTTGAATGTGAGCAGAGGCCGTTGGGGCGTGGGGTGCTGGTTCTGGATTACTAAGGGGGCTCTGACTCTGCTTTCTCTCTCTGCACACCGCCCCCAAGTCTGCAAAACCTGCATCGTGCGCTACCTGGAGACCAACAAGTACTGTCCCATGTGCGACGTGCAGGTCCATAAAACCAGGCCGCTGCTGAGCATCAGGTGGGCCGGGCACTGTCCCTCCTGCCACACTGGTCCTCTGTCCCTCGGCCCTCCTTGCATCCCGTAGCTGTGGTGGCAGGTTGAAGAGAAGCACAGGGTGTCAGCCCAAGGCCCTTCCCCTCCCTCTGTCTTGTCTAGGCTGAGAAATACCAGAAAGGTAAAGACCACGCCCATGGGGACCTTGATACCTGGGCCTTGGATCAAGGAAGGGAGGCGGTAGTAGGGGTTCCTGGCTGGGGAAATTAGGGTGAGGTGGTCGCAGACAGGACTCTATGTGTTTTTTTCCAGATCTGACAAAACCCTTCAAGACATCGTCTATAAACTGGTCCCTGGGCTTTTTAAAGGTATCCATGCAGCCTTTTTCCTGCTCCCTGCGCCCCCCACTCCCCTCCCTGGCGCTCCGTCCTCACACTTCCTCCCTCTTCCAGATGAGATGAAACGGCGGCGGGATTTCTATGCAGCATACCCCTTGACTGAAGGTGAGTGTGTTCACTTGCCCGTTCACGGGAGTACACGGGGCTGCCACAGGCACGCGGGCTGGGTGCACTGGGCTGTTTGTCCCGTGTGTCCCGGCTCTCTGCTGCCCCAGCCCACGGGTAGGCTGGGCTCACCCCACTGAGCTCCGAGATCCTGGGGTCCTTGCTGGGCCTCCTTTCCCGGTCCTAGGCCAACCCCTCAAAGCCTCTCCTTCCACAGTCCCCAACGGTTCCAATGAGGACCGCGGTGAGGTCCTGGAGCAGGAGAAGGGGGCTCTGAGTGACAATGAGATTGTCAGCCTCTCCATCGAGTTCTACGAAGGTGTCAGGCAAGTCAGACCCATGCCTGGTCTTTTGGGGGTCCTAGGTTGGGTCGCCCCTTCTCTCCCACCCTGGCCCCCTTCTGGTTGTGTGTGTTAGGGGATCCTGCCTGTTCCAGGGTCTCCCTAGCGTCATTCTTCGTTCTCCCCCAGGGACCGGGAGGAGAAGAAGGGTCCTCTGGAGAATGGGGATGGGGACAAGGAGAAGGTGAGTGCTGGGGACCTGCTTAGGAGTGGGCTGTGGGCTGGGAGAGAGTGCCTGGTGTGGACCCCAGCCCTTGGGTGCCTTTCCTCCGGCAGACGGGGGTGCGATTCCTGCAATGCCCAGCGGCCATGACTGTCATGCATCTCGCCAAGTTTCTTCGCAACAAGATGGATGTGCCCAGCAAGTACAAGGTGAGTCCCCAAGACCTTTCAGAAACTCAGTGTCCGTGTGTGGCCGTGTCTGACAGTCTGGGCGTCCCAGCCGTTTCTCTGAGCTGGCTGGGTGTCGTCAAGGGCCTGCGTGGTTGTGTGACTGAGCTGAGTAGAAGAGGAGTTGAAACCAAGATTAGGGTGGGGCCATCTTCATCGTTGAAGCCAGCGTTCAGAAGCATATGGGACCAAGATGGAGGGTGCGTGCGCGCACGCGTGCACACTGCGTGCTTACATGCTCATAACTGTGGCAGAGGTATATGTGCAAAAATATGGGCTCTTACCTGGGGCAAGCTGGCTGAAAGAAGGCCAGTCTGAAATTCTAACGGTGCTCTTGGATGTTGCTTCTCAAATTGGAATTTGTCGGTGATTCTCTAAAGATCTTATTAAAGCGTAGATTCTGATCGGTAGATTCTGCAGGTCTAGCAAGCTCCTTAGTGCTGCCAATACTACTGGTCTGTGAACCGCACTTCGGGGGTCAAGGCCCTAGGACAGTGGATCCCAAACTTTGCCCCAGATCAGAATCACACAGGGAGCTTTAAAACCCAACTTATGTCCTGCCGTTTGAATCAGAATCTCTGGTGAGATCCAAGCGTTGGTATTTCTTTTAAAACTGCCTGGGTGAGAGCCAGTGCTTGGCGAGATCTCTCTCACCGGGGCTTTTTCTTTGCACTCATGATCTCTGGAGGACCGGCCAGAGATGTAAGGGGCCTCAGACAGCTGTGTGGCTGGACTGTCGGCCAGGGCTGTTAGTGACCTGGGTGCTTTCTCTGGATCCTTTCCCGTCTGGTGGGCAGGAGTTCTGTTGGGAGAAGTCCGGGAAGGAAGCCAAACCCACCATGAAACCCCAGGGAAATAAGGGAACACCTGCTAGTCCCTCCTTCCCAGTGTCCTACCTCCCACCCCTAGCTTTGAGCCTCATTGCCAAATGGGTGGAGCCTTGAACCTGACCGGGGTTCATGGCGTCCTCTGTCTCCTCGTCCAGGTGGAGGTTCTCTACGAGGATGAACCACTGAAGGAATACTACACCCTCATGGATATCGCCTACATCTATCCATGGCGGCGGGTGAGCTGAGCCGGTTGGGGCTGGGTGGGGACAGGGTGGGAGGGGAGCCGTGTAGGGTCTGGCGTCCATCTGTGGCCATAGGGGCCGCACAGTGACCAGTAATCCCCATTTGGGCCTCGTCCTGTAAGCTGGGCGTGTCCAGGGTGTCTTGCCACAGCCGGCTAGCCTCCAGGCCATATTTCGTGATGACCTGCCACTCTCTGAAAAAGAGGGTCCGGTGGCTGTTGATGGGGAAATGTCACCCCTCACTTTTTCGGCCTCCCTCTCTCCTGTTCAGCCTCTGGCCTTGCGCATTCTTTCTGTCTCTGTGGGTCTCTGTGGGCTGCTGTACCTCTGGCCTCACTCGGTCAGTCTGTCCCCTTCTCTCCAAGGCCTGGACCCTTTTCTTCCTGTTTGGGCACCGCGGGATGAGGGTTGGTTAGCCCCTTTCTCCTGACACCCTCCCCTTCCCCTGCCTCTCTGCCCCCTCTCCCTGCAGAACGGCCCTCTCCCCCTCAAGTATCGGGTCCAGCCGGCCTGCAAGCGGCTCACCTTGCCGACAGCGCCCACCCCCTCGGAGGGCACCAATACCAGCGGGGCATCTGAGTGTGAGTCAGTCAGCGACAAGGCTCCCAGCCCTGCCACCCTGCCGGCCACCTCCTCCTCCCTGCCCAGCCCAGCCACCCCCTGCCATGGCTCTCCCAGCTCCCACGGGCCCCCGGCCACCCACCCTACCTCCCCCACCCCCCCTGCATCTGCCAGTGGGGCCACCACAGCTGCCAACGGGGGGACCTCGAACTGCCTGCAGACACCATCTTCCACCAGCAGGGGGCGCAAGATGACTGTCAACGGAGCTCCTGTGCCCCCCTTAACTTGAGGAAAGGGACCCTCTCCCTCCTTTTCCAGCCATGCCTCTCCACCCCTCCACTTTTTCTGGGCCCCTTTTCCACCTCTTCTACTTTCCCCAGCTCCTCCCGCCTTAGGGGTGGGGGGCGGGTTTTATAAATAAATCTATATATATATGTACATAGGAAAAGCCAAATATACATACTTATTTTCTATGGGCCAACCAGATTAATTTAAATGCCACAGGAAACAAACTTTATGTGTGTGTGTATGTGTGGGGGGTGGAGTGTTCATTTTTTTAGGGGGTCTTGTGTAATTTGCCCTGCTCTCATTTTGGGGGTGCCTGGAGGTGGACTCGAGGGCAGTCAAGCTCTGCTCCATCCTCCTTTCATTTCCCAAGGCAGGTGGGGTGTTCTGGGAGCCCTGCCGGCCCCCAAAGCTTTAGGCACAACTCCAACTGGCTGTGTATGGGGTCTAGCCTCTCTCCCTCCATCTTGGCTGCTGTCCTGCCCCTGCCAGTGCCCCCCGCCCCCACTGTTGAATGTCCAGAGAATCGCTAAGACAGTGCCTTTTACAAATACAGTTTATCCCCTGGTTCTGAGGAGCGAGTCATGGTAGAGATGTCATCTCCCTTACCTCCTCCTCTTGCAGTGGAAACTTTGTGCAAAGAATAGATAGTTCTGCCCCCCCCCCAACAATGTGCGTGTGCCCTTTGCATCATTTATCTTGTGGAAGAGAAGCTTTGGGCCACGGGAGGCCTCAGCTCTTGAAATCCCACTGTGGCTCGCACTGTGGCTTTAGCTGGGTGAATGCTTGGCCCGGTTCTGCCCCTGCCTGCACCCTGGAGCTCCCGACCGGCCAGGCTGGTTTTTGGCCAAGTCCCACCTAGGGGCCTGGAGTGCAGTGGAGCGTCTCCCACAAGCACAGACCCCAGATTGTGCTGAAGGCCGGCAGCCCTCCAGTTCCCTCCCCACCCCCAGCTGAGGCCAAGTCAGGACGCAGCCACGGAGGCAGCGAAAAGCACAAGAAGATGGAGACCTGTAAGCTCTGACCTTGGCTCCATCCCAAGAGGTCTGTGGACTGTCCCCTGCGAAGGGCAGACCCCAGCAGATCCCTGGCCACCTGTTTTTCCTCCAGTGTACATAGATCCGATGGGGGAGGAGGCAAGACTCCCTTGCAACCTAGGTGTTTGGGGTCGGGACCACCCCCCATCAGGTTTGTCTGTGTTTGCACCTTGTCCTGTGTCTGAGGTGCTGTGACTGTACCCTCCTCCCACCCTGGGACATTTGTATCTCCTGGCTTTGTAATAAATGCTGCATACTCTCCAGAAGCTGTAATTCTTTGGGGGATGGGGGACAGGGAGCGGGGGGCGGGGTTTGCGGCCTTCAGCCTCCACCTCATGTCTCTTGTCTCTGAGCTCAACCTGCCTCAGGAAGTCCCATACGGAATGAATGTGAACTGCCCCCTCCCTGTGGCCAGTCGGATGTCCCACCCCAGGTTAGGGCCCCGAGCAGGGGCAGACCGTGTGCCCCCCACCAGTGACCACAAGAGCACTGTGCTGGGTGGGTACAGAGTTTAATGTCACTTTCACCAGCAGGTGATGAGCCAGGGGTGGGGTCCCCAGCTGCCTGAGGGACCTCAGGTCTTGGGAGTAAGCCCTTCACAACCAGCAGATGGGACTGGGATCCCTGAGTGGTCCCTTCTTGGCCTCAGCACTCCCATTTCCTTCCCCACAAAAAGGGTGCCCGCAAGAGGCCTGGGGCTGGTCCCTCAGAGCGGGGAACCCACTTCTGCCTTCTGCACCCGCTCACTCCGGTGGGTGCCATCGCAGTACGGGGCCTTCTGGGTAGCCTTACAGGTGCAGAGGGCCACTGTGCGGGTCTCCTGGGCCTTGAACTTGAGTGGGGATAGACCAGTGCGTTGGAAGAAGTGAGAGCCGTCACAGAAGGGCTGGTGAGGAAAAGAGATGTTAGAGACCCAACCCCACCTGCTGGGGTGGGGCAGGTCTGGAAGGAAGACCACTGGGTTTAGGGACTGGGTTCCCGAGTGAGACTGCCTGGGTCCCTAGTTGACCACTCTCATCTGAGAGTGAGAGTGTGTGAGAGTGAGAGGAATTTATGAAATAAATTGTGGTTCTTACACACTTTGCCCGCAGATAGTGTTCAGTAAGTAGGAGTCCTTACAATATTTGTCCCTGGGGACCCCAGAAGACCGGGATAGAATTTTCAAGGTGAAGTGGGACTTTTTGGTATCAGCTGTGTTTACACTGATAGTTTTTGTTTTTGTTTTTTTCCTTAATGTCTCTGAGTCTCTACTGGCTCATGCAATTCATTTCCTTCCACATACTCTCAGGGTAAAAACTTTGCTGCGTGGGAGAGAACCTACATGCCTCACAATGCTTTGCGAATTGGGGTATCAATTTTGTTTGGCTCCAGGGAAACAAGTGGGCTTGTTATAGGGAGTGGATGTTGCAGGGAGGAAGGGTGAACCAGTGCTGGAGAACATTCCCCCATCCTCCATGGAAGCTGTTCCAGCAGAGACTGGGTCATGGAAACTGAGGCCTGCCTTGACTTGCTAGTTAGCGGCAGAGCTGGAGAGGAGGCCTCTTGCCTTTGAGGTCAGGGTAGGGGAGGAGGAGAGATGAGAGAAGTCGACAAATAAAACCCAGCAGCCTGCCCCAGAGGGCAAGAGGCAGGAAGGCAGAGTGCCAGCCCGTGCTAAGGCCGCAGGGTGGCTGGCACTCCCCAAGCGCCGCTCCACCCCCAGGACTGTTCCCAGCCAAGTCAGTGGCAAAGTAGGACTTGGGACCTGGGCTGTTGACACCACACCGCGCCGCTCAGAGGCACACAGTTTAGAGCCCAGCTCAGGAAGGAAAGGGGCCCTGGAGGCTGGGAATACGGGTCAGGTTCCTGCTGAAAGGAAGGCTCCTGGGGCAGAAGGGAGAGGGAGGCGGAAGCCCGCAGCCCAGAGAGGGAGGGTCTGCAGGAGACAGTGGCAAGGCGCACTTGGGAGCAGGAGAGCCCGCGGTCTCCCCAGTGTTGGGGTCCAAGACCTGGGAACTTCCTGCTCAGGTGCTTTCTGGAAAGAGGGAGAGAAGAGGGGAGAGAAACAATTCGGCCTCTTTGGGCTTCGAGCAGAGGGCTCCAAGGAGGGCACACCTGAAGGGGGCGCAGAACCCCGGAACTCCAGCAGCCTGGCTGTGAGACTGAGTTTGTCTCCCTGGCCTCACCTCAGAGGGTGGATGCTGAAAACAGGGAGCTTAGGGCTGTGGATGGCGCTGGCCTGAGTGTTCATTCATCCCCAGGCTCCCTTTGTAGTCCTTCAGGTACGTGTGGGAAAAGAGGAGGGTCTTGGCCAGGAGCTCTCAGGAAAGACCTACTGTCCCAGCCAGGGGTGTCCCATGTCACTGAGAGGTGGGTAGGGGTCTCTCACCTGCTTCTTGCTGCGGCCACACACACACCATCTGTAGGTTTTTCCAGCTACCAACTCCACCTTGATGGGCGTTTTCTGGGCCACCACGGACTTGGCTGGGGTCTTGGGGAACCATCGGGTCTGCGGCAAGGAAGACAAAGGGCTTGGGGTCAGCTCGTGCCCTGGAAGCACTTTCCTGCCTATGGCCTTGTTCCCAGGTTCCTAGTGGCCCTGGCCTATGGCAGGTGTCCTCTGCAGGAGGCTGGTCTGATGCCACCCCACAAGGACATGTCCCCAGGACCCTGAGCTCTAGACAGGGAAAAGATTTCAAGCCCACACAGGCACTCCGATTTCTGGGCCTAGAGGCCTTCCTTTCACACCTGGACTCCCACCCCCCGGGGCTAGGAAGGGGAGGGCCAGGATCCTGCCACCCTAAGTGGCACCCCAAGTCACCTGCACCTGGGGCTGTGTTTATCAGGCACTACTATTCCCAGCAGAGACGCCGGGCTCCCTGCCCTGTGCCCTCTGTTCACCTCACCTCCCCTGAGCCACCAGGAAGGGGGCTACAGGCAGGGGCCTTCCGACGTTGGAGTCTGGGAAGTGGGGCTGACCCTTCTGGTTCATTCTCTGGTTTCTACCTTTGGCATCTCTGGGCCTGGCAGAGGGAAGTGGAAACGGGGTACTCACCAGCCAGGAGGAGATGTCCCGCCTCTGGTTGAGCTTCTGAAAGGTATGCAGGCATGACTAGACGGTGGTTTGGAAGCAGAGGGAACAAAAAAAAGTCAGTGGAAAGCTTTGGATTTCCAGAGGGAATCCCTCTGGAAGGGACGAGACGCCAGGGATTCAGGGGGTGTAGGAGAAACAGGAGGAAAAGAAAAAGGGGTCACAAGACAGGAAGTGGAGGTGCTGGGAGGCGCTGGCTGCACACAGCCGGCGCTCAGCAAGGGAGGGCGGCCAGGCGGCAGGCGAAGCGGGAGCTGGGGACGCTCCGCCGCGGGGGGCAGCGGGGGCGGCTGGCCGGCGGGGTCGTACTGGCGGCGGGTGCCGCGGGGTCGGGGTGCTCACCCAGGCCGCAGGCCGCAAGGGCGCCCCCACGCCGCCGCCCATGCGGGTGCCCGCAGCTGCGCCGCGCCGGCTCCGCCCCGCGCCCGGGTCGCCTCCCGCTCCCGCCCAACCGGCCGGCCCAACCCGCCGCCGCCCGGAAGACGCGGAGGGGCTCGGCGCGGGTGGGGGCGGGGGCCTGCGCGGTCCGGGTCCTCTCTCTGCCACACCCGGCGGCCGCCCCCGCCGCCGCCGCCGCCGGAAGCCCGACCGGGACCCCCCCTCCCCTGCAGCCGGTTCGGAGACCCTCTGGGGGAGGCGTGCGGAGGGGGCCGTCCGGCGCCCGCTCCGGTACCATGGCCTCGGCGTTCCCGGCCTGCGCCTTCTCGTGTGGGCGGGGACTTCTCGGGAGCCCGCGGCTCAGGCCGAGGTTCACCGGGAGCAATGCGGCTCCAGCTCATCGTCCAGGGAGGTTGTTTTTTTAACGGCTTGCCGCCCGGCCCGGACATCCACATCACCTCCTTGCGGGTGGGCACAGGTATCTGAGTTTTCAACAGGAACTTCGGTGCCTTGGGCTTACTGGTATGTGAACTACCATTCTAAGTGCTTAAAGAAATGTAACAGACCCCCCCCCCATCCCCTCCCAGGCTCCCACAGTTGGCACTCCCCTCCCTTTCCCTTCAGTAAAGCCATACAAAGCAGGGCACTTTGGATTTTTTTTTTTTTTTTGTAAAACATTCTTTTATTAAAAGAACAAGTGCTGTTTACGAACTGCCCTTCGTACAAATAACATCCGTTATACAAAGATACAAGATCAGGGTTATGCACAATTCCAGGCTTGGAAGTGAAAGGAGGGGGGCATTGCCTTTTGGGCTGAGGATATAAAGGAGGTTCTAGAAAGAATGTAAAAGGAGCCCCTGGGTTTGCAAACTCTGGCTTCCCCTCCCTGCTCCCCTAAGGAAGGGTCTGCTACATTGAGACAGGCTGGGATGGATAGGGGGGAGACTGGGGCTGGGAGTCCAGGTTTGGGTCTCCAGTCCTGCCACCTGAGTCCCAAGTTGGGCTGGAGGAAGTGAACAGAGGGCAATGAAGGCACCCCTCAGTCCCCAACTTTTCAGTAGATCAAGTCAAAGCGGTCAGGAGCTAGACACACTTTGAATCCGGATTGACGTGACCAGAAGGAGCCAGGGAATTGCATCCCACTGCCTCCACATTCCCCACTGAAATGACCTTAATCCCTCTGGGCATCTCTCCCCAAGAAAAAGGAATTAAGGGAGAATTGGGAGCATGCTGCCTCCTCCTAACTTTGGCCCACCACACCCCAAGGAAGATGCTGGACGTTGGCAAGGGGAGCCTGTGCCTTTGAAAAGCTTGTCTGCATTTCCAGTTCAGGGAAAGGGAAATGTGGAGGTTTCCCTTTCTCAGAGCTGGTCCCTGGCTCTGGCTCCCCTCACTTGCCGAGGTCCTTCCCTGGAGTGCTTCCCTAAAACTCACTAAAAGAATGGGTGGGGACCTCAAGGTTAGGGCAGCGGTAGACCCAGGAGCCTGAGGGGAAAGACACACAAACAAATAGGAAAAACTTAAAAAAAAAAAAAAAAAACAATCTTTAAAGTGTCATTGTCTATGGAGAGGATCCATCAGCTCTGAGCTAAGACAATCAGTGCTACATAGATGCCCTCCACCCCGGGGCCCAGCCCAGCACTCACACACACAGGGACAGACAGACAGCCACATGGAGGTGCCGCAGTGGGGGGCAAGAGAGCCCAGGACCAGGAGGCCAGGGTCCTGAGGGCTGGTCCTGGCTCTGCCCCAAGCCCCTGCCCCTCCTAGGCTTGGAGCTATCACCTGTGAAGCAAGCAACTGGCTCCAACCATCCCTAAAGATAGGTCCCTTCCAGCTCTGACACTCATGCACCAGTCGTGACCTCAAAGCTGGACGAGGGTTCTGCACACACAGCCCTCACACCTCCACGCTGAGTGTGATGACACACGAAGCTCCTCTCATGCATTTTCAGACTCCACTTCCGCCCTGCAAACCACATCCCTTCTCTCTGCTAGGCAGAGAGAGATCTACGAATCTGTGTCTCTTCCCACTCCTCATCCAAATTCATCCTGGAAAAAGGGACAGAGGCTGGGAAAGGAGGGTGAGGTCGGTAATGGCATTCCCCCTGCACTGGGATCCTGAAGATCTCTAGAACTTTCCTATTATAAAGCTCCCTCTGAAGAAGGAAATGCACAGCCTCACTCATGCTCCACCCCCCACCCCAACTGAGGGACAGCAGCAACCCATACCCAGCCTGGGTCCCTTCTTCGAACCTCACCTGCCTGCACCCCAGCCTGGGGAAAGCTGGAAAAACATAGGCTCTTGGAGATGAGAACCCCAGGCTCTGAGGTGCTGGGAGGGAAGGAGGGGGGAAGTCTTGGTTCCAGTGCACTAAATCCTAGGGATCTCTCTCTCTCTCTCTCTCTCTCTCTGCCACAGCAGCCTCTGAGCAGACCGGCTTCCCACAGCATCCAAAACAGACGTTGATTTAGGCTCTTAATGGGCCAGCCTTGGGCAAGGGTGTGAGTGTGAATGAGCGACTCTTCTAAGAACCTCTGAAGGTAATTTTTTTCAGTGGTTTGGGGGCAGGGAATTAGCTTAATAGATGAAGATGAGTAAGATGCTGAGTCCTACCATTTCTAATTGATATTTAGCATTAATAAAAAGTGAGTATTTCTGAGGTCATCACAACTGCCTTCCCCCCACCCCCAAGCCCTTGCAAGTGCCTAAGAAATTGCCTCGGAAAGATTCCCGCCCACCCCCTCCTTTATCAGCTCCCTAACATCTTACAAAGTCTTATCAACAGGAATATTAATATTATTTTCAGTATCAGAAAAAAACCAGTTGAGCAGCACAGGCAAAAATATATCTGCACTACGTTTCTGTCATTGCCAAAAATATACACATCTTCTTTTCTTTATTTAAAAAAAAAAAACAACAATAACAAAAACCCAAACAGAAACACACACAAAAAATCCACACATGCAAAGACTGACGAGACACGAGCATCAGGGAAAGCTGGCAACGCCTTCTCCTGGCTCCAACCCCAGTGCAACTGAAACAGGCTTCACCCTCGCCCCTCTCCTGGCTGCCCTGCCCGCCCTTCCACCTTTGCCATCAAAGGCTCTGGGCAGGTGGGGGCTCTTTAAGGTGAGAATTGCCCCCTCCACCCCGGGGAAATAGCTGGTGGGTGAAGGGACAGTTGTCAGGTCAGCTGAAGGCTCCCCTGGTTGGTGGGGGGTAGGGGGTGGGGTGCGGGGAAGCAAGCTGGCTAATTCTGGGAGGGAGGTTTTCACCAAAGGAAGTGGCACTTCACCCCCCCCTTTGCCCCATGCCCCCCAGATCCCTGGGGCTCCCCCTGGGCCAGGGAAGCAGGGCCAACTATCAGTGGGAGAAGGGGAGCTCTGAGGGGGCAGTGAAACCATGTGGAGGTCTGGGGGAGGGAAGGCAGGACATTACCCTGATTCAAAGCCCCCAGCCCCCAGTTACTCTCCAATACTGGAGTACTGTTCTGGTTTTTGCTAACCATTCACAGCCCAGAAAGGGACCAAAGTTGGTGAGGTGGGGAGGGTGCAAACAAAAGCTGGGAGCCCCCCTTCTGGTGCTGCCTCATCTGAGCACTGCTCCTATCCCTGCCCTCGGCTGCCCCAGGTCCAGGGGGAGTCAGACAGACAGACAGACAGACACACGCACAGACACACATGCACACGCGCACAGGCACACACGCTCTCTGAGTCAGGCAGCTCCATCTTCCCACCCTCCGCACTCCTAAATCCAATAGTGCAAACAAGGGGGAGGGCACCAAGGGGGCTGGGCTATGCCCCCCTGCCCTCCCCCATCCTGTCGCGGGGGGCGGGGGGCAGGGGTGGCTCCCGAGAGGTGGGGAAACGTGGGCTGAGTTTGGTGCCGTCCTGCCCCTTCCTCAGCTCCCTCATCTGCGGGCGTTCACAAGCTCAGCCTGTAACCCTCGCTTGGGGGGCAGGGGCAGGGGAGCGGGGAGAGACAGTCCAAGAGATCTCTTCCACCCTCTGCCCAATTCGGGGAGAAACTGCAGGTAAAGCAGGGCCGCCCTTTCTTTTGTAAGGGATTTCCGCGCGTGGGCAGGCCCAGGGCCTGTTCCCCCACTTCTCCCCACTCAAGTGCTGATCCATTTTATGTGGGGGGTCCAACCAAACCCCCACTTATGCCATGGCCCATATGGCTCTTGGAGGACCTCAAAACATTGCTGAGAGTGGGGGCTCCTAGGTGGGCTTGGAGCCTGTCCTCCCTCTAAGCCCCTCACAAAGGGGCTGGGGGGAGGGAGAGGGGGCCAGTGATGGGGGCATCCCTCTCCGGCTCAGTCCTTGGCACCAGGAGCACCCCACACTCCCCAGGCCTTAGCACGAGCTCTGAGCTGGGGCTCTCCAGTGTCTGGGTGTGGTGCCCACTCCAGGCTAGGTAGGACCCCTCAGGCCAAGATCTGCCCCCTCCATTTGGGGGTCAGGAGGGGCTGGGTGGATTTAGCCTTTTTCCTGGTTGGCTGAGGTTCCTTTGTCAGCGGTCTGGAAAGAGAGGGAGGGAGGCTGGGGCTTTAGGAGATGTCTGGTTCTAATACACTGTTGAGGTCAGCCGCCAGGGGCAAGGCCGCTGCTGCAGGGTACAGCAAGGGAGCCCTGCTGAAGCCCCTGCCCTGGGGTCTTGGGCTAAGGGTGTGTGTGTGTGTGTGTGTGTGTGTGTGTGTGTGTGTTGGGGGTGGGCGGTGACGGCAAGGTGCCCTGTGCAAGCTGAGCAAGGTCGGCTCCCTGGGCAACGACTATATGCCCTCAGACGAAGTGGGGGGTGGGGCTTTCCCCAAAAGGCCCACCCAGAGCATCAGCTTCTTCTAACTGGACCACTCAGAGAGGAAACAGACTTTTCTAACTGGTCTTCCCAGAGGAGCACTGTTTTCCAACTGGTCCTTTTGCTGTTAGCCCACACTGGGAGTTTATCTCTGGCAGAGCAAGCAGAGGCCCCCGGGGCCTGGGGTAGGGTGCCTGGCTGACCTCGGGGTTGCTTCCTTCCTCCTTAGGATGCTCCCCTCCCCGCCCAACCTGGAAGAGAAGGCGGACAGGACAGCCGGGGTGGGGGCTACTCACCCCTCCTTTGGGGCCACTGCCGTCCGCCCCCGCCAGGCTGAGGAAGGGGTTGGTCTGGGCCGTGAGGACTGGAG